TTAAAATTACTCTCATGTTACGGGAAAAAATATTGCATACATATATATATTATGAATCAATTGATTTGGCCGATCCAGTTCGATGGCACAAACACGGCACTACTAATATTAATCGTTATGTTAATCGAGGAATTCAGGTAGACCTATATAGAAATCTTGAATGTTCTTTGGTTCTCTTCATTAATGGTTTCGTGAAATGAGATTATTACAATTAAAAAGATAATTCCCCCCCCCCCCTTGCTCCCCGATACTATTATTTTACAGAAGTTTAAATAATTGTTTTCTCTAAACTATCGTGTTATTATCAAAATATTACAAAAGGTGCCCTAATAACACGCCCCCCCCCCCTCCCACGCCCTCACCCTAAACTCTTATTTTTATTTATTTCATTATTTTCTCAACGGGAAAATCCAAGAGCGACCAGGAGTGCTGCCATTATAGCGATGATGCTCATATGGACGTTGGTGGCGCCGTTGCAATATTCTCCAGTGCAGCAGTTTGTGCAGGTCTTGATACCGAAGAAGGATATACATCCAGCGGTACAGGCACCTGAACAGGAACGGGTAACGGCCGTCACTTCTCCATTGACGGTTACGACGGTTTTCTGTAGAAAAAAGGATCACAAAAAAAAAGAGACAAGCAAAAAAAAGTTAGATGGTCTGTATTATTTGAGAAAATCAGGCATTCATAGAATCGCGTATAATCTTTGTTATGCCCAATGCATGCGATGTGTTATTTCAATCACGCCATTATTAATTTTACGACAATCGAGTCCTTGAGTGCAATACACCAGTTAACGGTCACAACAGTGCGTATACGCAGACATGGGCGCCATTTTAATTTACGAGTAAACAAACCATTGACTTCTAGAGGTCAGTGGTTTACGCGCAATACACCAGTTTACGGTTACGGGCGCCATTTAAACAAAGCCAATGACCTCTAGAGGTCAGTGGTTTATGCGTAAATTAAGATTGCGCCCATGCAAATTATGATGATATTACTGCCTGCGCGCTGCGTTGTGCGCTCACATCATAATTTGCATGGGCGCAATCTTAATTCACGCATAGATACTACTGACCTCAGGTCATTGGCTTTGTTTCAAAGTCAATTAAATTGGCGCCCATGTCTGCGCATGCGCACTGATGTAACCGTAAACTGGTGTATTAAGATAGCGCCCATGCAAATATGATGTGAGCGGACAGCGCAGGCACGCTACAATACATGCGCATCTGAAAACATTGATGACATCACTGCCTGCGTTGTGCGCTCACATCATATTTGCTAGAATCACAAACATGAATCACAGATCAAAACGCCGTTACAAAACAAGTTCACTGCGGGAAAGCGTTCGAGCGAGTTTCCATTTACGCTGATTCTAGCTCATTTCGAGCCCAGCCACTACGCATCACACGTACTGCGCAGTTTGACCCAGGAAGTATAGGTCAACTTCGACGCGCGCTTTCTGTAATTGTTTACCATATCAATTCCTTTCATAGCAAAAGCGCTCCTCACAATTTCTGTAAATTTGGCAGTTTAACGCTACGCGTACCGCCTTGACCGGACTGTGCGGTATCTGTGCAGTTCTGTGTGTAGAGAGGTCGGGCCGTATTCATTATTTCTTGGGGGTGCATAAATTGCTCTAATTATACGTACGCGTGTAATGCGCAAGTTTATTGTTACGGCACTAAACCCATCCTACTCGTTGTTCCCAGATTTTCATAATGGTACTGACCCAATTATGTGCAGTGCGCTCGTACGCGCTGCGCTGCGTGTGTACATGTACTGTACTTATGCATGTTCAGTTATATGTGTATGCATAGCATTACGTACATGTATGCATACACGGCTAGCTGGCACAAAACCCTGGGTCGGGCTTCTAAAATGGGACATGAGGCATGATTTGACATGAAAATTGACTGGGCTAAAAATGAATCAATCAAAATGAACTTTATATGTATGAAAAGCTTGTGTATCATATGTCATTGTCTGGGATTGAGGATTTACAAATTTGACGCAAAACGCGTTGCTGCAAAGTTAAAGATTGGTATATTAAAAGGCAATCGAGCACAGTGCGACCGATCAATGGACATTATGTATGAGAAAGTAAAAAAAAGTTAAATGGATTGTAAAGTTTAACGTCAAAATGACGGAGGTTTTTTTCAAGTAAGGGCATGGTTTTACATGGAATTTAAAGGAAACGTTTCCTTCTTCTCATATCTCGATTGAGGATATTATACTCAATTCCGATTTTTAATGGTAAAGAAAAGTGTAAAAAGATGTCGAGAATTTTACAATATGTCATGTAATATAAAATGCGAGCGGGTCGGTTGATCTCCCAAAAAGAGCGCGAAGGAATTGATATGGGCCGACTGTCAACTGATCTTTTGAGCATAGATCGCAATAATAAAACAAAGAATGAGAAGGTGATAGAAGGAAGACCAAAAAAATAACATAAGGAAAGACAGAAAAAGAGGGTGACAGAATGGTAAAACAAAGAATAACATAAGGAAGGACTGAAAGAAAAAGTCGATAGAATGATTAAAACGAAGAATAACATAAGAGAAAGTGATATAAGGAAGAAACAAAGAATAACATAAGAGAAGGTGATATAAGGAAGAAACAAAGAATAACATAAGAGATGGTGATATAAGGAAGAAACAAAGAATAACATAAGAGAACGTGATATAAGGAAGAAACAAAGAATAACATAAGAGAAAGTGATAGAATGATGAAAACAAAGAATAACATAAGAGACAGTGATATAAGGAAGAAACAAAGAATAACATAAGAGAAGGTGATATAAGGAAGAAACAAAGAATAACATAAGAGAAGGTGATATAAGGAAGAAACAAAGAATAACATAAGAGAAGGTGATATAAGGAAGAAACAAAGAATAACATAAGAGAAAGTGATATAAGGAAGAAACAAAGAATAACATAAGAGAAGGTGATATAAGGAAGAAACAAAGAATAACATAAGAGAAAGTGATATAAGGAAGAAACAAAGAATAACATAAGAGAAGGTGATATAAGGAAGAAACAAAGAATAACATAAGAGAAGGTGATATAAGGAAGACACAAAGAATAACATAAGAGAAGGTGATATAAGGAAGAAACAAAGAATAACATAAGAGAAAGTGATAGAATGATGAAACAAAAAATAACATAAGAGAAGGTGATATAAGGAAGAAACAAAGAATAACATATTAAGAGAAAGTGATAGAATGAAGAAAACAAAAAATAACATAAGAGAAGGTGATATAAGGAAGAAACAAAGAATAACATAATTCAAGACAAAAAGATAATGTGATATAAGGAAGAAACAAAGAATTACATAAGGAAGGAAAGAAAGAGATCGTGATAGAATGATGAAAACAAAGAATAACATAAAAGAAGCAGGGAACTCACATATCCCTGATAGAAGGGAATAAAAGGAAAAAACAATAACACAAGGAAAGACAAAAAGAGAAAGTGATAGCATGATAAAATTAAAACGAAGAATAACATAAGAGAAGGTAATAGAAGGAAAAAACAAAGAGTAACATAAGAATAGAAGGAAGAAACGAAGAATAACATTAGGAAAGACAGAAAGAGAAAATGATAGAAGGAAAGCAAGGAATAACATAACGGAACAGGCCAAGATAAAGAGCATGGAATAGTGAACGCAAATTGCATTAAAAGCAGGCACGCGGTTTTTCCCCAAACCGGAACAGGCCACGACAATGACGCCATAGAATCATGATTGAGATCTCCGTTCGTTCAATCGAATTTTACTGGAATATCATGCAGAATCATGATACAAAACGCATTTTTTTTCAGCGTTTCATGTTTGTGTTTTTAAACACGTTTATTTTTACGACCGACGAAAAAAATGGCTTGAACGAAACGTGTTTTAAGCTAAACGTCTTTAAAAAAAAATCGTGATTTTAGGGTGAAAAAGTGTCGATTTAACACACCCTTGCATGGGCGCTATTTTAATTTACGCGTAAACCACTGACCTCTTGAAGTCAATGGTTTGTTTACTCGTAAATTAAAATGGCGTCCATAACCGTAAACTGGTGTATTAGACCAAGAGCCGGCAGTTCAACGCCTTTGACTTTATCTTTCATTAAAAATGTTTTCCCTGTTAATTTGGCAATCTCCCTTTGTGGGATATCAATCTCACCTTCTATAAATGAAGCTAATTGAGATGAAGTGATTTTCCTTTTCTTTTTATTTCCACGTTGCAGTAATCTTGCTTTATGTTTATGAAATCAAACGTTAACAAAATCATGATTACTGTAAAGGTGCTAAAAAGAACGCCTATCTAATTGGATTAAGAAAATCGTGTCAAGAATTGTTATCCCTTAAGTCTTAGTGGTAAAACTAACTAAATAAACAAATGACTTAAATGATTTGTAAAAAATAAATCAATAAATAACATAAAGCAATGAATAGACAAAAGTGAGAAAATTACACAAAATTTAAACAGATGAATAGATAGTTAAACGAGTGAACGAATGAAATTATAAATAATAATTAAATGAGTAAAAGAATGATTAAATAAATAAATATATGAGACATATAAATGAATAAACGAACAAGACAGTAATCGAAACTGAAAAGAAAAAATAGTAATTAGTGAAAGAAAAACTAAAAATTATAGAGATAACAGGAAAAAAAAGGAAACGCAAAAGAACTACATCAAAATTAACACAAACAAGAACACTAAAACGAACAAAACATCAAAGCCACCTACCGCGCACGAACCACTGCAAGTGCTTGTTGTGACGTCACTGCTGCTATTCAGGGAGGCAATGTCAAATGTATCTTTACACACTTCTCCGCCGAACCCAGAAACGAAGCCGCATGTGTAGCAATCGAGTGCGTAGAGGGGAGCTGCGAAATGAGAGCAGAGAATAAACCTCTTTTAATACTGATGTTTGTTAAAGGCCATCTATACTACTGTACAGGAGGGATTAGACCACCCTGCAAGGTCACATGGCAGGTGTTTATCTCATCAAATCAGCTCTCAATTAACATGAGAAAAAGAGGATCATGGGGGATCAATGGTCACCAATAATAGGCATTCATATAGAGGGCGCAGGTACCTATAAATGGTGCAGTGGAGCTTTAATGCATGTTTCAGTCACCTAAACCTGGTCATCTATTTATATTGATAGAATCCACATACATTAGTTGTTGATACGTCGGGGGGGGGGGAGCAGCTTTGTCAAGCTTTTACTGTGATGAAAGGAATCTTTTGTTCAAAGTGTATGCATATGATTAGTTGTATTTTTGAGCCATTTCGTGGATTCTATCCGCGCTTGGGCTGTTAATTAAAAGATAATTTGGACAAATCTGCAAAACCTATCGAGGCGACTACTGGATACGTGTTTAAGTTAATCAGGTAACATTTACTGAAGGTATATTCTGTAAGAGGGAAATATACATTTCCATGCAGGCAGACAAAAGTTATCTTCTAAAATCACCCCACCCCTTTGACAGTGACTATTCTTAAATACCCAAAATAGTACTTTGAATATTTGTGGTAATTTGTACCGTGTTCTATCTTCGAAGATGGGGGAGGGGTTTCACAAACTTGTCATCAGTGCCGAATTACAGTTTTTGTTATAAGCTACTGAAATCCTTGCTTCTGATTGGTTATCGGCAGATTTGTCACTGATTTGAATAATTTGTCATAGAAAAAAGGCTTTGTGAAACGGGTCCCAGGTCCCAGGTCTACTATAGACGCCACACGAATGGAACATTTTTTCATCATGTTTGAAAATAAAGTTGAGTTTTGTTCAGAGTATTGCATTATGAGAGAAACGGTGTGGAATCGATCAGAAAAAGATGACCATGGAGCATGTAAGTATCGGTGTGTACTGCGAGGTACCTCCTAGGACAACCACCCTCTAGGACGACTACCCCCGGCACAACTACCCTCCGGATAAGTACCCCCAGACAACTACCCCCCCCCCCCCCCAGACATCTACCCCCGGACAAATACCCCCCTATGACAACCACCCTGTAGGACAACTACAACCCGGACAACTATTCTAGGGGTAGTTGCCTGGTGGTAGTTATCCGGGGGTAGTTGTCCGGGGTAGTTATCCGGGGGTAGTTGTTCTAGGTGGTAGTTGTCCAAGAAGCGCGAACAAACAACAACAACAACTTTTACTCACCCACGCAAACAGCGAGAACGAACAGTGTGATGAAAGTCTTCATGGTTATGCTTTGTTGAGTGGATTTGGTTTCACCTGAAGAAATTGAGATGAAAATAATAAATCAGTTTTACTCTCCGTCTTGTTGGTAAATAGGACCGGTCAATGAACTCGATTGCACAGTTATGTATACCTTTACTTGAGATTCTAAAAGAATGCTGTTCAATTTTGTTACAGGCGAGTTGATGAATTGATTTATTTAAATTGATTTGCATCTAATTTAATTGAGGGGTGAAGATCATGACTTCGTTTTCGGCAATTAAAAAACAAAATTGAAAAAGAAACAAACAAACCGAAAAGTTACATATAAGGCCAAATAAAATAAAAAACATGTTTAGCGTCCGGTTTTTTTTTTTGAAAAATAGGAAGGAGGAGGCACTTTTTTCTTCTTTTTTTTTTCTTTTAAATGGCCGCTCGGTACATTTTCCCTGACAGTCGCGATATTTTTCAAGATGGCCGCCGACAATTTTTTTTTAATTGTTTTAATTTTAAAAAATTTCAAAAAAATTTCAAAAAAAAAAAGGAGGCGGCCCCCAAAAAGGAAGCGGGTGGGGACGCTAAACATGTATATATTTTGTTAATGGCCTAACTTTTTAGCCATGGAAATCCAACTTTTTAACATTAAATGAAGGAATCTAACGCTTATAAGGACCAGCAAAAACGAGAAGCGCACGTTAAAGGGGCCGGTAAGAGTGTCTTACCGACAAAAAGTAAAGCTATACAAAACAAATCATCTCCCAAAACAAAAAATAACAAATATACACAATATATAACGTGGTAAATGTTCAAAGTACAATGCTTACCTTTTTTGCACAAAATATATAGATATCTAATGACTTTAGGTCAGATAGCACTTTATGCCCGTTTTGGGGGTAATGTATATAATTCGGTTAGGAATGAAAAAGCAAGGAAAATAGAGAAAGTATACAAATAATTATCAATTAAGAGAGAAAAAGAGAGAGGAGAATTACTGCCAACAACAGTCATGTAGGACTTATAGACAATAACTTATAACGGAAGAAGAAGATGGACCTCGAACCAAATTAAAACGAGTCTACGTTAAAGGCCCACTGCACTACTTGTAGCTACTTGCGCCCTCTATATAACGAACAATGCCTAATCGGTGACCATTGGTCTCCCATGATCCTCTTTTTCTTATGTTAACTGAGAGCTGAGTTGATGAGATAACCACCTGTCCAGTGACCTTGCAGGGCGCTCTAATCCCTCCTGTAAACTATGGCAGATAAGCTTTAAGCCGGCAAGTTGCCGTAAATATTCACACCTGAATGATAAAC